ACTTACGCTCATTGACTTCTATTTTGAGAGTGGGGGCTATTGTTATAGGAAGTTAAACGGTCCAAACAAGAATGAGAATCGGACCGGGAAAGAGAATGAAGGACCCCGAAACAGCTACCAATCGTGGACGACCCAGAACCTAAGGGCCAACCCACTCAACGACCGACCCGACCTTGGCGCCGAGGTGCCGAGGTGTTCTCGGCTACGGGTTGAGAACACCTCTCGACTTCTCTCTCGATCCCTGTCCCGACCGACTTATGTTTGTAGAACCTCGTCCCAGTTCTGACTTTGGAGCCCGAAACGACCCCAACGAAGGATCTCACGGCCCAAGAAGCCCGATGATGTGTGATTTCCCTCGTTCACAAGGGTAAAAAGAAGCTAAATGGGTGCTATTTTCTAACGTTTTAAACTCGAAAACCGTGATTTAAGCTTGGTTTAGTGTCCAAAACCTTTCATTATAAGTTATCTTAGGTTATACATGCACATAGGACGTTTTTACATCATTTAGAGTTGATTTCTAACGGAAATTACACTTTTGTGCAGAAAAATTCCGAGCTAGGCGTCTAACGCCTTCCCCAATCTCGAGATTGCCCTTAATGTAAAACGCACATTTTGGTGTGATTTGAAGTCTTCCCAAGCCCTGCCGCGTGTCTTCCATGCATTGAAGGTTGTCAATTCAACAACTAACCAACCAAAAGGTGTTTGAAATGGATGGCTCTCCACAAAGCTCTTAACCTCCTAACCACCTTGAAGTCCTTATAAATTCAGCAGCTCATTCTCTTCATTGATCATCTCGGAGTGATCATTTCAGCTTTAACATTTACTCTCGGCTTATTTACGTTTCCTCTTTAAGATTTTGAGTTGTTAATGTTTTAAACCTTTCTAGTTCACCCTTTATTTCCAACTTGTTAGTCTTGAATTTTAAATTTTAATCTTGTTTAATTAAAATTCCAGCAAGTTCTTTGTTACTCTTATCTCTCTCTTTCTCATTACAAAGTTGTAATCACTCAACCTTGAGGAATCGATCGAGTATTGCTCCCCAATCTTGAAAGAGAACAGGTTAGGGTCATTCGGGTTACAACTATACCATTTTTAGCTTGTTTTAATCTTTTAATCATGTCGTCTACTTCCATCAACATTAAATTCTATTTTTCCTTTATCATCATGAGCTAAATTTATTTTTTCCCAACCCGGTTATGGATAGTTAGTTAAAGTTTTTAAAATCCAACAAGGCAAAAGGCGTTTTTCTCCTTTTTTATCACTTAAAGTTGTTTCCATAAGTTAAAACTTGATTTGGCCAATGAATGTTTTAATCAAGCATCAATACTAAAAGGGTTCATATGTTTTCACAACTTTACTGATTTAACTTTAGAGAGAAATACTTTAGATATAAAGATTTCGCTCGGGTAGCCTAGACATAGGACCTCGACTTAAGGTTACGGTTGGTTTTTACTAAATTAAGTTCTTTTTTCTAATAGACATATTAGGAATGGACTTAAACCTTCAAAATCACTTAGACATAAGAAGATGGCGAAGTAAAATGGATATTTTTAGGATAAATATCAAATTTCAAATTTCAAATTTCAAATTTTATGTGTTCATTTTCAAATTTCAAAAACCAAATAGATACATACCCAAAACTTCAGGGACCAAAGGAGATGGGAGAAGAATGATAAGATTTTGGCATTATTTCTTTTTGAATATCTTTTGGATTTTATTCTTCGTGTCACGCCTATATTTCATGAATCATCATAAGCCTTCTATAGGCAATTTGTACAACATGATGATGTGTGATCATTTTAGACACTAATAATAGATTTTTTTTCTTTTGAGATAAAGGATAGATTAAATTGATAGGTAGAGCTTTGGGCATTAAGACACATGTGTTGTTTGTGCAACAAATAAACGTCATCTAATATTATCTAATATTTATAATACATAAACAAATATCTAGTCTTACATTTATTACAAACAAAGTCCCACGCCAAGTAACGTATGAAAGATAGATTAGAGAGCCAAACTTATCATGCACTCTCGTGATCCAAATGAATAATTCAAAATACTTTAAATTAAAATTATAATTAATAAAACAACATTAAAATTTTAATAACAATCTATTAAATTAATTGTTCTATTATAAAAAATTAATTTATTAAATTATATACTTAATTTTTTATTTAAAAAATGTAATAAATTGATGTCATTAATAGGATGAAAATTATTAATTTTGTTAAATACATTTCTTTTATGATGATTATAAAAATGGATTGGAACATAAATTTAGATATATTATTTATAGTATATTTACTCAAGAGTGAATTTTAAATAAAAACATAATTGCTTTAAATGATTTTAATATTATAATTTAATAAATATAAATTAATTAATGTAAATTAATTATTGAAAGTTAGTTTCAATTAATTTTAAAGCATTATACATAGATATTAGTTTGCTAAATATGTATATATTGAATAGTAGTTAAATAACATTTACAATTAATTGTTCCAGGTGCTAAATTGTAAATATAGTTAAATTGACAGTGTAAAATTTAGAATGCTATAAAAGAATTTATAACTTAAAATAATAATTTAATTTATATTATTTATTTTTAATTAATTATTAATATTTTTTAGTACAACTATTAATCAATCTTTACGACGACAAAAAATATAATCACACAAAATAAACATATAAAAAATTTATTTTTAGACATGTTAAGTTCAAACATATATACAATCAAACACAGTTATTTTTTATTTCCAGATATCTTGTATCCAGACATCTTAATCCCAAGCTACTTTTTGAAACCTTCAACTAAACGATCTCTCAAGAGTTTGACAAATATTTTTAAAACATTAAAAAAAATTGTTAAATAAACTTTTAAAAAGAAATTATATATTATAATTACTTCCTAATGTTTGATATTTTTTCAATATAGGTTTAGAAAAATTCAATTATACCATTTTTCCTTACTTTTGTCCTCTTTTAAATATTTGTCAAATCATTAAATAAATTTATCGTACCAGTCAATTTTAATATTCGCGATTGAAGAATTTAAAATATAAGAGACCTAAATATATATTTAACCACCTTAAAATAATATACACCGAAAAAAATGTCGTTTTCAATTGTCTTGTTACAAAATAAACTAAGAATAACCAATGAATGAGTTTAGGGTTTTAAATTTTCTTCTAATATATTTTGGTCGACATAAGTGGTGAACCGACATTTCTATTATCTATACAGGTAGGAGGCAGGAAAAACATTTTTGGACACTTTTACCCTTTACTAAATTTACAAATTACAAATTATACCATTAATATATTATTACAAATATTAAATTAATTATTAATTATTAATTATCCATACTATAAATGCATGGAATATAAAAGGTTAGAATGCAAAAAGTTTTCCAACAACATAAAATTAATTTTTTCTTTAATTAAAATTCATACTAGAATTTCAAGAGTTTTAGAATTTGGAAAGCTTTTGTAACGTTTTATCCTCTACTACTATAAAAATCTGTTTCTTCTACATGTTTTTCACAAGTTTCAATACTTTTTTATTCTTAGTTTCTTCAAACATCTCTCAAAGATGATTCAATCATGAAAACATCTCGAGATATTTGTGATATATTCATCAAGTTGCAAGGGAGGCATATGTTGAATCTACATATCTCGAATATACTAGGTTTGTGACATTACCATTCCACAATTTTACAAAGTTGAATAATAGTATATGTCAAGCAATCTTCAAGAATGAGCATATTTACTCTAAAAAAATGAGTGTATAGCAAGTATTTGGATTTTTTTTTGTTACTATTGTTATTTTTCAAATTAGTGAGTTTTTTGTTTGGAATGTTTCTTTTTTTTAGCAATTTTGTTTAGTTTAGGATTTTGATTTTTCTTTTTGTTACTAATGTTTTTTTATTGTTTAGTGTACTTTTTTTTTATTTGGAATGTTTCTTTTTTAGCAATTTTATTTAGAATATTTGTTTAAAATATAGATAATTACAAACTCATGTTCTTATTGTTGAAAAAAAAAACAATCATAGAAGTCAATACATAAAAAATGTTTAATTAATAAATTAATTATAAATAATAATTTGTATAGAATCTTAAAAGGTGGAATATAAAACTTTTGGTCATTTTATTTTCTAATAATATAATTTGAAGAATTTTTCTTTAGTAATTTTAATTATAATATAAAATTAAATCAATAAAATAAGGGAACCTAATTGAAATAATTTAAAAATAAAAATATTAAAATACCTATTTACTTTTTTATTAATATATAATTTTTTCCTTTACTTTTAATTTATTTATTTACAAAACGTATCATTAACAATTAATTATAAATAGTATATTTAAAAAATAATTATAAATAGTACATTTTATTATTAGTAATTAACTGTCAATAATAATAAATATATATAAAAATTAATCTTTATTATTTTTAAAAATAATTATACTTAAAATATTTTAGGTGAAATTATATAAAATTTAAGTTATCTTATAATTAAAAAAAAATTTACGTACATTGCAGGTGGTAATACACTAGTATAATAAAAAGATGGATAAAATCATGCCAGAAAACTATCAATAAAATATCATTTAATGAACATAATATTAATATTATTAAAAATCTTAAACTGATTTAGAAAAAGGTAAACTGCTTAATTTAAATATATTTAAAATTTTCTTTCCTTTTTTCCAAAAAAATATTTTATCGACATTTTAACGGAGATGGATATTTAAAACTTTGAATTAATCCACATGGAGGAGAGTTTAAAAGTGAATATTTAGATGGGATTTTTCTCATGCTTGATCGTTTTTTCCAAAGCAAGTAATTAAACTTTCAACATGGAATATTCTATCATCATTCCATGATTTCATCGAAACTTTTCAAACTCAAAGGGAAGCCCGATCCCATATATTATATTTCTCTCTTCCATCTTCTAAAATTTCTTCATCTTCAAACTCCAAATGGATAATGTAGAAATGGAAAATCTTCAGTTCCTCGGAATCTGTGGAATTCTCCAAGAAACTTTCAAATTGATACACAAAGGGAGAAGAATCTTCACCCAAATCACTCTTGCCTTCATTCTTCCCCACTCTCTCTCAGTTTTTGCCCACATCCAATTATCCATTTTCTTCGCACCCAAATTCCATAAACTCTCCGACGTCGTATCCTCTAAATCAATCTGCTATGCTCTCTTCAACTTCGTTATCTTCATCGTCTCCACCGTCTTCCTCCTCCTCTCCACTTCCGCCGTCGCCTACACAGTCGCCTCCATCCACACAGCACGCGACGTCGCGTTCGAGCACGTGATCGCCGTCGTGCCGAAGCTCTGGAGGCGGCTTCTCCCCACCTTCAAATGCGTGTTGACATATTTTTTCGCCTTCAACTTGGGAGCTTTCTTTACTCTCTTCCTGAGAATTTTGATAGCCGTTTTTGTGAACGGGCCAAACGCCTTCGCGGACGACGACGAAGACCCGGCCGACATCGGGACGCTTCTTTTCTACTACATCGTCTTCTACTGCGTGGGGTTGACGAAGTTCTGGGAACTGTCGAGTGTGGTGTCGGTTCTTGAAGATGTGTGTGGGTCGGAAGAAGCCATGGCGAGAAGCAGCGCGCTGCTTAAGGGGAACATGAGGATGGCCGCAGTGCTGATGGGTTTGTTGTGTGCTCCTTTTGCTGTGGTTCAGATTCTGTTTTGCTATCTGGTTGCGGCAGTGGGGGTGGCGGGAAAGGGTATTTTGGGGATTGTCTGGGTGTTGTCGATTTTGGTGTTTGTTTTGGTGAAGCTTGTGGTGGATACTTTGTTGTATTTTGTCTGTAAATCTTATCACCATGAGAGTATTGATAAGTTGGCTCTCTCCTGCCATCTTCAAGGTTGTGTTCCGGCCTGTTAGAACTAATGCAGAGTATCCTTACTTGACTGTCCAGTAGTTTTTTTTGTTAGTAGTGTCGTATTTTAAAGAGTCTTATTTTGTTAGAGAGTTTCTTTCTGGTATGTTTTCACTTGTATTTAAGCACATCTTCAATTCAATAAAACACATCATTTTTGTTGTAGCATATTCAGTATTCTTTTATATTTTTAACACGGCATGGTAGAGTATATTCCGTTGAAGGTTGATGATTATGATGTCCAGCTTGAGAAATTGCAAGTTGTTTGAATCTCTTTGATCCATTATTGTATGTTATTGAGTTTTGTTCGTGGAATATCAATTTTGTGTATATTGTTAAAGTCATCGTCAGGAATTGACATATATCTCCAATTCGTGAATTCGTCACTTCTTCATATTGTACCAAAAAACTATGTATAATATATACCTCATTTTTTCTTAACAATAATTATGTATATACCCTTACGATCCCGTCAACCCTTTAGGTTTTTACATTGCATCTTTAAGGATCCGTTTGATAATATTTTTGTTTCCGTTTCTTGTTTCTTGTTTCTCATTTCTACTTTTATTAAAAAAATCTAAATATTTGACAGTTATTTATGTTTTTTGTTTTTCATTTTTTTAGAAACATTCTCAAAATTGTATATATTTTTTGGAAACAACAAAAACAAGTTTCTTTTATCTCGTTTCGAATTTCAATTTGTTCGGACATAAATATATAATTTTTTTATCATTGGTTCGTGCAATTCTTTTTATTTATTATTATTATTATTAAAATTTGAGAAAACATAAACAAGTAACAGAAACATTACCAAACGAGCATTAAGAGCTCTAACATTGAGCACAAACTCTTCCTATCGTTCGCATGGTGAAGATCATTAACGGTCCATTTTGAGAGCAATTCTCACCCCTTCCTTATCTTATATCTTGCGTGATCAGCATCACTTACATTCACCTTACTTACATTCACCTAACATATAATATGTCTCGACGGTTCTATAAAAGGGTCAACCATAGGTTAATTAAAGCCAAGTCATGCACCGCAACAATATATGTTTACTAAAATATCTAGAAATTTTATGTTTATATAAAAATATATAAACATCAAATTTTTAATATTTAATTTTATAAATTAATTTTCTCGTATAAAACTTTTACTTTTTTCAAGTAAAATTTTAGAAAATAATTACCAAATATTTATGCTTCTTTTTCAATAAGAATAAGAAACAAAAAATAGTTAAAACATGTGATTCCATTTTGCATTATTAAAAAGTAGTAAACGAGAAACAGAAAGTAGAAAGGATACTGAACAATTAACTTCCTTCTAAGTTTGACGAATATTTAAAAATAAATAAAACTTTTAAAATTAAATTATAAGTTTTCTAAAAATTAGGGACATATTTAATCAGAAACTAAACTGCGCAAAATATATGTTTTTATTAGTCCTTAATATTTGGGTTTTTTCAATTTAATCTCTTTTATTTAAAATTTTTAATTTAGTCCGTTATGTGTTTAAATATTTTTCGATTAAACTATTTTCTCTTTCATGACTTAATTATTTCCTCTTCTAAGTTTTGTCAAATCATTAAATAGTTTATCCTACCGGTCAATATCTTAATATTGACCGACGGTATAGATGTTATTAAAATACAAGAGCCTTGTTCTATGTTAAAAAATATGCACCAAAATGTCATTGTCTTTATAATAAAACAAATTAAGAACAATGAATGAACTCAGAGTTTTAATTTTTTGAACATTCGAGAGAAGTGAATCAACATTTCTATTATATTATATAAAAAAAGTAACAAGATGTAAAAAATATATCAATAAAAAATCACTAACATAGACATAGTATCAATAATAAGAATTTCTAACTTACTTAAAAAGATTGAAAGATTTATTTGTTAATTTAAATATATTTTATAAATTCTTAATTTTTATGATTTTTCTAGAAATATTCATCTACATTGATATTTTATTGGACATTTTCATCAACGTTAGAATCTCGATCCTTCTGTTCACCTTGTCGTCTAAAGAGCTCAAATGAATAGTTTAAAAGTCAATATCTAGATTGGATTTTGGAAAATACTTCGCGATCTACGTTATCAAAAATTTTCCTCTTCAAATGATGATCTCTATCTTCTTCTTCATTCTCCATAGGAATGCATCAACTAAACTATCATTCCATATAGATGGTCGTGGCATGAATTCATAATTTCTTTGCTTCCATTATTCTATCCCTACTCAACTAATAAAAAAGACAAACTAGCTCCTACTATTATTCGTCCTTTACCGTAGTTGGTCTTTCACCAATCTTATCCCAACATCATTAAATGTTTGACACTTAGAGGGATAAATGAATAAATCTAAACTTTTAAAAAATATATACATATATGAGTTGTCAATTTTTTTTAATATATTGATTTCAAATCAAATCAAATTATTAAAAAAAATGTTAGAATTCCTAAGTATTTTCCTTGGATTTTTCTCATTCTTGATCGTTTTCTCCAAAGCAATAGTTAAACTTTCACCATGGAATATTCTATCATATAACATTCCATTTTTCATCGAAACTTCAAACTCGAAAGGGAAGCATGTATCTAGTTAACTCCTTATATTTCTCTCTTCCATCTTCTAAAATTTCTTCATCTCAACATTTTTTCAACTTTTTTTTTTGTTTTTGCCAAAAGAAAAAAACCATGCATGTAGAAATGGAAAATCTTCAGTTTCTGGGAATCTATGGAATTCTCCAAGAAACTTTCAAGTTAATACACAAATGGAGAAGAATCTTCACCCAAATCTCTCTTGCCTTCATTCTTCCCCTCTCTCTCTTATCCTTTGCCAACCTCCAAATCTCCAATTTCTTCACACCCAAATTCCTTAAACTATCCGACCTCGTATCCTCTGAAACAATCCATTACATCCTCTTCAACTTCGCTTTCTTCATAATCTCCACCCTCTTCTCCCTCCTCTCCGCCTCCGCCATCGCCTCCACCGTCGCCGCTGTCTACGAATCACGTGACGTCCCCTTCACGCACATGATCTGCGCCCTGCCCAAGCTCTGCAAGCGCCTTCTCGCCACCTCTCTATGCGTCTTCGCAGCCTTTGTAGCCTTCAACATCACAGCTTTCGCTATTCTCGCTTTGATACTGCTCATAGCCGTTGTGGTCCACGACATCACCCTCGACTCGGCCGCGACCTGGGCTATCCTCTTCGTCTTCATTGTCGCCTACTGCACGGCGGCGGTGTATTTGACTATCATCTGGCAGCTGTCGGGCGTCGTGTCGGTTTTGGAAGAGTCGTGTGGGTTCGAAGCCATGGCCAGAAGCAGGGCGCTGGTTAAGGGGAAGATGATGATGGTTGTAAATCTAATGGCTTTACTGAGCTTTCCTTGTGTGGTGGTTCAGGTTCTGTCAAGTTACATGGTTTTTGAGGCGGCGGCGGCGGCAGTGAAGGGTATTTTCGGGATTGTTTTGGTGATGTCATTTTTGCTGTTCGTTTTGGTGAAGCTTGTGGCGGAGACTGTGGTGTATTTCGTCTGTAAATCGTGTCACCATGAGAGTGTTCATAAGTTGGCTCTCTCCGGCCATCTACTGGCAGAGTATATTCCATTGAAGGTTGATGATGATGATGTTCAGCTTGAGAAATTGCAAGTTGTTTGAATCTCTTTGATCCATTATTGTATGTCGGTCTTTGTTAAATTTTTTGTAATGAATGGGCTTTTTTGTCTGTTCGAGTGCAACATGGGGTGGAGATTCAAGTTATATAATAAATGGGCTTTCACTCCTAATTTAGTCATTATCTTCTAATAATCTTTGTCCCCCATTGATGGTAAATGTAAATTAGCTATTAAACATAAGTTTATATAGCATAATACTTGCAAATTAGCGGAAAAAAGGTGAACATAGGAGCAAAAAGGTTGCTTGTTTTACTAATAATAGTTAGCTCTTAGTGCTTTTATTTTCAATAAGGGACCGAGCTTGAAGAAGTGAAGCGAACCTAGAGTAGTAGCCTGTATTAGTTACTAAATTTTGAAACCCCTTGATTTTAGAAACTATTAATCAAGCGCGCTAGAGGTAAGGTTCTTTTGCTATCAATTAAATTGAAAGAAAGACAACAATAATTTAGTGCATTTTGTATAGATCGAGACTTGTTGTGGGATTTTTGACCTCATACCGAGGAAGAATTCAAGAAAATTGTTCAATAACATTTCTTACCTATTTCTTAATGATATCTGATGATCCAGACAATTCTTAAGAAACTAGGAGGAAAATGTCATATAAGACATCTCCTCCAAATCTCTATGAAGTAATCGGTAGAAAATTTAAGTTTTATTCTTTTGATGATTTTTTTTCCGGTCTAAATTATGTAAATTTTTCTTACCAATCAATTTTAATATTCGCAAACGATGGCTAAATTGAAAAGATTAATATTATGAGCTAAAATATATACTTAGTCTTGTAAATGTAATGTATATCCAATCCATTGTGTAGAAATAATAATCTCATTTAAATTTTAGGTTAAATTATAAGTTTTACCTTAATAGAATTAAGATTGGGTCCATTTAGTCTCTCTAATGTCAAAGTTTCACCATGCATGTAGGGTTGTATGTCTATTTAGTATTTAGTATCAATACCTTAAAATAACAAATCTTAGCAACTTTCAATTTTATCTCTAATAGGTCCTTACTTAATTAACCTATCTTGATAGTGACAGTATTGTTTAAAGATTATATAGTAAGAATTGTTTTTGGTGTAGACATTTGCCGGCATAATTAGCATAATTAACTCAACAAGTTAACAACAAAGACTTATCTTTTTCTAGTATAAGAACGAAAAAGAAGATGTTGGGAATGAGATCAAAGCCCCATATTGGCTAAATAAGAGGAAGATCATTTACAAGCCCCAGCATATGCTTTGTCCTCACTCACATGTCAAATACGCTTAACTTTGGAGTTCTTAGAATTGAACCATTGAAAAGCAAGATGCACCTTATTAATATAGGTAGTGACTATCTTTTAAGTCTTTCTTGACCATTCTTTCATAATCTCAGGATCCCTCTCATTCGGATGTGGCATCAGTTCATTCATGTACCCCTCCTCTCTACTCGGGAGTCACATGCACACCAGTTTCCACGCCTTGGTTTGTTCCCGAACCACATCGTACTAGGAGAGGTTCCGCTCTAATACCATTCTGTAGCCAAGGCCCAGGATTCGGACCAGGATTTGGAATTTGGATTTGGCCCTAATTGCCCGACATTCCCTTGTGTCCCTACGACCCGTTACGCCAACTTCTCAACCTGCTATAAAACACATTCTAAAACATATAAAGCATTCTTCTTCTAAACATAAAACAACTAGATAAAATTGCGCGGAGTCATATAGTCCCAAAGATCTTCCATTTCTGAGTATACTATAGAAAGACATTATGCTACTGTATGCTATATGAATAAAATAGAAAGACATTATTCATATAGCATACAGTAACATAATGTCTTTCTATAGTATACCCAGAAATAGAAGATATAGCATACAGTAATCAGCTGGTTTGAAAACTTATTTTTGCATAAAATTATTAAATCTCCTTTGCAAAAAAAAAAATATATTAAATCTAAAAAACTATTCTAAAATTCTTTTCTTTTTCTTCTTTCTAATAACTTTTCTAACTTTCTCAAATAATTCTCAAATATTTCTTTCTAAATACATTCGATGAAATTCTAAAATTATTTTTTAAATCTCTTTTCTAAAATTCTTTTCTTTTTCTTCTTTCTAATAACTTTTCTAACTTTCTCAAATCAATTCTCAAATATTCTTTCTAAATACATTTCATGAAATTCTAAAATCATTTTTTGAAATCTCTTTCTAAATACCCTTCATAAGCTTTAACCATTTCTTTACAATCATAAAACATTTCTAAATTCTCAAAGGAACATAATTACTTCGTTCTAAATCATACATAATATATAATTTCTTAAAATTCTATAATAATAGATATCTTAAAAACATTTCATAACATAAACCAACCACTCATAAATCCTTCTAGGTTGTAAACTTGGGTGGTACACTGTTCCAATTTTTGCTTTACCTGAAAAGAGAATCCAATACGGAATCAATTCATACTTAATCCAACATACATTCGACACAACCTTAATTCCATCATAAACTCTTTTATCTTTGAATAATCCAAAATATTTAATTCAAAGTTCATTCTCTCTCTTCATTTAAAACTCACCTCTTTTCTTTCTCATATTACTTACAACTAGGTCCCACACTAACAAATAACTCATTCAATTTCGAAAAAAACTTCGCTCCTTAACGGTGGTGAGGAGCATTATGTTCCTTACCCTCACATGGTCCTATAATAAGAAGACAAGTGTTGGCTGATACTTTTTTTTTATTATTTTATTAAAATTCATAATCTCGCCAAAATCTCTCCAAATCTCGTTTAATTTTTTTTAAATTGATAGGACGATTCTTCTCTCTTTTTTCTCTCTCCCCGTAACTTCTTACTCCCTTCTTTTTTTCTTATCTTCTTTGTCATTTTCTTCTCAACTCAAGGAGTACTGTAATCTCTTTTTTTTCTCTCTTCTTCATCCCCGTTTTGTTTTTCAACTTAAAATAAATCTCCACCAATATTTATCTACAATTTAAATGTGTACACATGTATATATCTACTTTTTACTTTTTATTTTTTATAGTTTTAAATGATTGTCGAGAAATTGTGTAACATGATGTTTTTTTTCTCACCTATTATTTGATTTTGTGCCTTATTGTCTTCTAATTTTAGATGGAGGCTTATGCAATTTGTTTTTCATAACCATTTTTTAAAGGAATGTAGTTGAAGAAGTTTTGGGACATTGGATTAAAGTTGCTTTCCAACTTTTGCTTCAAATGATCAACGGTCAATATTAGCAGCAAGTGGAGAAAAAAGTGATGGATTAAAGTTGCTTTCCAACTTTTGCTTCAAATGATCAACGGTCAATATTAGCAGCAAGTGAAGAAAAAAGTGAAGAAGAAGAGAGGGAAAAAAAAAGAAGTGAGAGGTGGCAGGGGGAGAGAAAAATGGGAGAAGAATCATCTAACTAATTTTTAAAAAAAATTAAAAGAGATTTGGGGAGATGTTAAAATTAAAAGAGATTTGGGAAGATTTTCACGAAATTATGGATTTTAATAAAACAATTAAAAAACAACAGCTAACATTTGTCTTCTTATTATAGGGTCACGTGAAGGTAAGGAGCAATCACAGCCAAGTCTTTTCCTTCAATTTCTCTTGGTTTCAACTTCACACGTGAAAGCCCATTTTCTTCTAGGCAATTCATTTTTCTTTTCTTATTTAAATTTTATCCCAAAAATTCCTTTCTCTCTCTTCTAATAACACACTCTCATCTTCTTCTTTGTTTCCATTCAAACCCACAGTTTTTCCTCTTTCTTCTTCCTTTCTCCATCTCCAAATCTCTTTGATTTCATTTTCTTCGTTTCTACCATTTCTTCTGACCAACACAATCTCCTTTTCTATTGTTGCAACAAACTACCAATTTACCTTTAACAGTTCTATTCGATCATGTACCATAATCGAAAAGGTGAGTTGGGTGAACACGCGGACGAAATATAGAAATTGACTCCGAAATACTCAGGTCGGCAGTCAGGATAGGGCCTACAGTGCCGAGCCGATACAAAGTCCGTAACAATGCCTCTTTCGTACCCGACAACAAGCCGCGATTTTAGGGTTTGTCAGAATTCCTGTCGGGCTCATTTCTATAAATAGAAACCCTTGCCTTAAATGCAAGGTACGCAATCCTAGGTGAACTCGGCAAGTTAGCTCGGACCAGAACTGACTTGCTCGTCGGAGTGCTAACTTTGTTTTGCAGGTCTCGAGAGTGTTCAGAGGAGGAGTGGGCAGTTGGTCGTAGCTCGTCCCGGACGTTCCGATTCACGTCGTAACCGAGCTCACCAAATCCGAGCTCAAACAGAGGTAAAGGACCAAAATATTTTTTTTCTTCTAAACAATTTATTGAACATATCATAAAAACCCCATAAATTCAAAGGATTCCTAAGGGAAGAAAACCCACAAATCTTAGCCTTAGAGAGTTACATAATTCCAACTTTTCTCATTTCTTTTCAAAAATTTCTTAATCACATCATAATTTCTACTCTACCAAGTTTCATATAAGATATCTAATATATGAATTAAAGTTTTTGGGTTGAGGGTGGTTTATCCATCCCGTAGTCGTTTCCTCTCCGATTTAAACGTGCTCCTAATTTTTCTCCCAATTATATTCTTTTCTTCTTCTTCGAACTCACCCAAAAGTCTTGCCCCTTTTTTTCCTTTTCTTTATTTCTGAAGCCACATGTTCACACTAAAAAAACAAACACGTGTCCTCCAAGAAAATTTGCTTTAAAAAAATCAAAACTTTTCTTTTATCTTTTTTTTATTACATTTTTTTAATCAAAAGACCAAAATGCTCTTAGTAAAACCTAAACCCCCAATCTGAATTTCTCTTTTTTTTTCTTTTTAATGACGAATGTGTCCTTACATTAGTTATGGCGACAATTTCGTCACCATAGATAGCTTTGGCGATGAATCATAAATCATTGCTAAAAAAAGACCTATATGGCGATCAATTGACTTCTTCGTCGCCATAGGTACAGTTTGTTTTTGGTTTT